CCCCTGTCTTGCCTGAAGCAAACCCAAGGACAGTCTTGAACCCGCTCAGAATCCAAGTGGCTGAAGCTGCAAGAGGAGACGTTCTCCCTGTCAGATCCTTCTATTCAGCTCCACGTGGCAGCGATGTTGAATTTTGGGACAAGGACAGAACACGCTTCAGGGTGCAAGAAAGGGTCAAGGTGGGGGGGACTCTGTCAGGCCAACTTGTGTTTGCAGGGAAGAAGTTGCTGCGTTGTCCCTGCGTTTCCAGTCCTTCCCCCTACGAAGGGGGGAATCGTAGGCAGGCCATTTCACTCCTTTAAATAATATCCAGGAGGGAAATTATAAATGGCTCTCTGGTGATCTTGCAGCCGGGGGAAAAAAACATACATCTTTGGGTTTTTTTAAAAGCTAAAATATCATAGGCTTTTTGGCCCGAGAAGGGAAAAAGAAATGCTGAGGAAAAAGGAGGCTGCAGAAGATTATGAATAAATTCATTGAAAGAGGTCAAACCAGCAAATGTGCTTGATGGATGCGGGTAAAAAAATAAAAAAAATCTGATCTATTTAGTACAGCATTTAAGTAGACAGAAGGGAAAAAATGTACTTCTGCTTAAATAGTCATGCAATTCATCTCTCATTCCTTGGTATGTTTTTACACCCCCACCATCAGGTTGTCTCCTGGGGGGGTCAAAAAAGTCAAATGGTGGCCGTGACTGTGCAATCAAAGCCCTATTTCTTGTGTTGTAAAAATGGACAGGGTTTTGATCATGTGGTTATGGCCACCATTTCATTTTTTGACACCTCCCCCATACAGATGGCCCTGGCCACCATTTTCACTTGCGGGTCAACCACAAGTGGTTTCGAGCCAACCACCAGTTGTCTTCACATCTGCTGACCTTGAAATGGTAAGAATACAGGTCGGCTTTGAGTTACAACCATTCGTTTAATGACTGTTTGAAGTTATGACAGGGCTGAAAAAGTGACTTACAACTGGTCCTCGCACTTACAACCATCACAGCATCCCTGCAGTCACACGAGCAAAATTCAGGTGCTTGGCAACCGGCATGTATTTATGACTGTTACAGCATCCTGGAGTCATGTGATTGCCATTTGCAACCTTCCCAGCCGGCTTCCGACAAGCAAAGTCAATGGGGGAACCTGGATTTGCTTAATGACTGAGTGATTCGCTTAACAACTATGGCAAAAAAGGTTGTAAAATCGGGTGCGACTCACTTAATGACCGCATCGCTTAGTGACCAAAGTTCTGGTCCCAATCATGGTTGTAAGTTGAGAACTACCTGTAGACAAAAGACCTCATGAGTTGATCACTAAAAGCAGTTTGAAAAAAGAGAGTTCTACAGTGTCTTCTCCCCTGAGGTGCTGCAACTCCTCAGATACCAAAAACTTCCCTTCTCCCATTCTGTACGAAAGAGAAAGGAAATTAATCACTAAATCCCCTCCCCACAAAGTACACATTTTCAGTTTATGTTGGGTGTGCTTTCATCAGTCTCTTTCCAACTAAAAATCTCAGCAGTTGCTATGAGGGGAAGCCAGCTGACTGCAAAGGCACCATTCCTTCTGTTTCTGCTCAAAGACCACGGTCAGGGTGAATCCGACAGGATATTAGGTCTTGAGTTTTTCCACAGTGGAATCAGTCATACCATGGTGGCTTTTTGCTGTACTAGTTAGCATCTGGCTTTTGAAATGTTTGCAGGTCCTATTCAATTTTCCTGCCTCTTATTGGACCGTTTCCTTGGCAGCGTCTCTTCCCCCCATCTCCCAAGGTCTTTCCCACATCCCATTACAAGAGCTGCTCTCAAACTGGCGAGGCGTCTTCCAGGGAAGAGAGCCAGGGACCCGGAGACCCGTGTCCACGCTCCTTGGTTGGCTCCCCCGGCGCCCCTAACTGCGGATGAGCAACTCAGAAATCTCTGCTCTTCTTTTAAACCCGGCTTTGAGCAGCCAGCATGGCTCTGATCCCAGAGCGCCATCATATACTTGGAGAACTTTCCCAGCCTTACTAGTTCTTCTCTGAGTAACTTGGCAGATGGGCAGGAAGAAAACAGGACCTTTTCCGTGGTGGCCCCATCCAGGCAAAGGAACTTCATCCTGGCTGGGTGGACCAACATGTCTCACACCAACCAGTCGATGAAGACGGATGATCGGCTGATGGTTTGCTCTTCTCTGCGATCTGTGGGTGGGAAACCCCATCCAGACACGTAGGCTTTGAGAGGAAAACGTGCTTACAACTTTCTTAAAGGGCTAATTCAGTTTGACGGTTCAGACGGGGGTTCCGAGCCGTCTCCGGAAGCACCTCCCGAGTCGCGTGAGCTCTGAAGAAATATTTGCACCATCTGCCGCTCGGGTGTATCGTGATGGACGCTCCTGAGTGTGCCATGTAGACCGTTCTATTCTCGCAAGCTATTACGTGGGGGAGGTGTGATTAAGGCCTGCTGGTTTTTATTATACAGTACGTTGTGATTTCTAATCTAATACTCCCATTTATTTTTAGAACGTTGTAAGCCAATGCTTTGGGTTGAGCTGAGGTTTGCTTCCGAAGGCAGGATATCAGCCGAGGCACGTTTGAGCAGCTGCAGCAGCTGCGAGGCCTTGCCTAGTTTCCTCAGAAAGCTAAGCAGGTTCAGACTCGATTCATCCTTGGATGGGAGACCACCAGGAAACCCCAAGGCTATAGGGAAATCGGGAAAAATTGCAGAAGGAGGGAGGAGCGAATTACAGCTATGGTTGAGAAGTCCATGGCCTTGTCTGTAGAGCTACTAGACGTTCCCCTGGACTTGTAGGAGTCTCCATTATTTGGAAGAAAATTTGGGGGGAGCAGAGTGAGGGGACACTCAAGGTTAGAAGATCAGACAGTGCTTCCATATGCAGGGGGCTCAAGGTTGAGGATTGAGGGGTTTACATTTGCACTGGAGACCATCCCACAGCCCCATATTTGATATTCATCCATAACAACTCTCGCATCTTTGGGCGTATTGGGCAGATAGACTACTGCAGTGCATTCTACATGGGGCTACCCTTGAAGAGTATCCGGAAGCTTCAGCTGGTCCAGAATGCAGCCGTGTGAGCTATTTTTGGGGCCTGAAGAAGGACCCATATAATACCACTGCTCCGTGAGCTGCACTGGGTCCCAGTTTGCTTCCAGGTCCAATTCAAGGTGTTGGCTATCACCTTTAAAGCCCTACATGGCATGGGGCCAGGCTACCTGAGGGACCGCCTCTCCCCCATGAGCTCATCCCGTCCCACCCGATCCCACAGAGAGGGCATGCTCCGGACCCCCTCAGCAAAAGAACTCCGACTGGCGGGGTCCAGAAGGCGGGCCTTCTCGGCTGTGGCCCCCGCCCTTTGGAACATATTGCCCCCGGAGGTGAGGCAGGCCCCCCCACTCCCGGCCTTTCGGAGGGATCTGAAGACCTGGCTCTGCCATCTGACCTGGGGCGGGGAGGGAGGTTGTCAGAAATGGGGTCGGCTAGCCCCATAGTGGCCTGGTGTGGCCTCCATCGGCCTCTTGGATTTTTTATCTTTTTTCTATCTGTGTA